CACTTCTCTCCCTACTGTAAAAAGTAAAGAAAGCTAGGAATGTGATAAATACCCTGCTGAAATTAAAAAATAAAGAAAAAACACCACAAAGAAAAAATCACCACCCCCCCACCACCCAAAAAAAAACCCAAAACAAACAACAACCAAACAAAAAACCCCAAAAAAACCCACCAGACTTTCAGAAAACTACTTTAGAAGAAGCAGACCCTATGGTCCAGACTGGTCTTGTTAAACAGCTGTGCTGCAGCTCTTACCTGGTATGAGCACAACTACATTTGGAAAAAAGGGGAAAAAAAAAATAATCACGAAAACGAGACCATTAAAAGCCTCATTCAAGGCCATTTGGAAATTGTATTTTTGAAACCACAAAACAAAACCAATGACTTGGCTAGGTAACAAGACTTCTGAATTGTGACATTTTTATAGTTATAATTCCCCTCACAAGATGTATTAATCACACCCAATTCCACTGATATGGCTATTAAAGGAGAGGAAAAACCTCAGCAGTTACCGTAACAAAGACACTTCCTTCACTGTTTTTTCCATTCAAGTCATACAAAATACAATGAAGTTATTTTTTTCCCCTCGGTCTACACACAGCATTCAACTCTCACATTACCCTCTTTGAGCTTTTGTGCGTATACACAGCTTCTGCTTCACAACTATGTCTAACAAGCAAGTTGCAATAAGGAAGCTCTATCTCAGGAGTAGGAAAAACCAGAAACCTAAGAAAATGGACTAGAAAAGATTCAATAGAGACAGAAGAATAAACTGATTCTTGCTATGTGTCATTGCCAGTCTGCTTGAGATAATATCAAATTGTCCTAAAAATTAACCAACTCATTTTCTTCAGTTTTTAAATTAAGTAAATTGTAGAATTAACACAACTGTTGCTGGAATAATGAAATCATTATTACCCCTTATTCAGAAGAGCCTCATAGTGCCTTAAAAAAAAAGAAAGCCCCAACCACTCTCCCCCCACCCCCACGAGACAATATTTTCTACAAGAATGCTGACAACCAAACTGCAGCTACTTCTATCAGCTGCTTTAACGCTCAGCATTCAATACATTCCTGTCACATACACACCCACGCATTAAACACCAAGTGGATAAAACAGAAGAAAAAAAAACCTGTGGGCAAAATGAGTCAATCCAAACCAGAAGCTGAAAACCCCTGTTTTCTTTGAAGTGAAACTTCATTCAGAAAAATATCACACTGGATTTAGCTACTGCACTGATGTCTGCAGGATAACAGTACAGCTCAGCAATTACATTTGATAGGAATGGAAGGCAAACCCTGGAGAACCAAGTGGGAGACCACAGAACTTGCACTCCTTATGACTGTATCAGTGCTGGCAGAAAAATCTACATTATTCTTGCAAACAGAAAAATCCATGGAAACTAACAATCAAAAAACCCCAAGAAACCGAACCTGTATTTTCTTACACAACCTACTTATTTTAATCCCTTTTTTTCCCAGGTCAAAACAGCTCAGCTGAGGCTGTTTTAGACAGTCAAGAAACAGCTCTGCCTGGACAGCCCAGAGATTTCTCTTTACAACACTGCTCCCCTCTCTGTTTAGATGGGGAAGAAAACAGCTATGACTCAAAGCTGTACCTTAAGAGGAAGCTGACTATTACATTCCTCATCGCCCACAACTCTAGGAGGTTGGAGTCATTTTTCAAGAGACCATTTCCCCTGAGCTACATGAAATTCGATTTGAAAAACCCCATCCATGCAGTCTTGTGTACACCCTCCTGTAAAGACAGACCCTCTAACTATCTGCCTCAAAGGAATTTGAAAATAATTGTGTAGTTTCAGCAAGGGAAAAGAGTTTTGTACCATAAGGATGTGATTTTCTTAAGAAAGAGAATCACAATTATTTCAGCCTTTTTTTCTGGTACTGAAAAAAAATTCCTGGCTCTGATAAATCCAAGCTTGGGCAGTGCTCAAGGTTTTTTGTAACAAACTCAGATTCAAGGTTTCTGCACTAAGAACAATACTGTGTTCTAACACACCACAACAAGCACTCTGCTTCACAAATCTAAATTAGAACCAGATTCCTGTGGAAATTATACTGGTATCCAAAGCTCAGAGTTGTGTTTTTATTAGAGAAGTAGGTGCTTCCCAGCCTTGTCAAATTAGACAGTGACATCGCCCTCAAGAAAGATAATTAAGACTCAACACCTCTTCAGCTGCTAGTTGTACATTCTTAGCAACCTCTTTTTTCTGAGACTAAGGACAGCATCAGGTTGTGGGAAAAGACATTAAAACTAACACATCTACAAAACAGAAGGTGGATTTTGATCATGTGGTCCAAGTTCTTTGGAAAAAGTACTGAACTCAAAGCCTGGTTCAGCTAAGAACTTCAGTAGTAAAACAGGGATGGAGGACAAGTCCCAGTACTCAGATGAACCACAACAGCCACTGGCACTGTGTTCCCTTAGGTATGTGATTGACAGCCACATCACAGACCTTTCACAAAAATCAGTTAGCTTGCATGCTTGCGCTGTACAATTTTAGATATTAATACTTTTAGGAAAAGGGATGGATGTACCATCTACATAAAGAATGTGACATGAAGAAACTCAAAGGGACAGCTTTTCCACTTGTTGTCACTGAAGGAAATTCATTGAGCTCAATATCTGATCCATTTGCTAATTCTCTGCAAACAGATGGTTTGGCCTTTGGGTGAACCAAAAGTGGTCACAAAGCGAAGAGACAGACAAAATGCAGAAAGCAGTTTCCCCTCTCCCATCAAAATGTGTCCCCAGGAAGAAGATCAGCAATTGATTTCAATGAGAACCCTAAGATTTACCCTAAGGAGTTCAACACAATCATTACAAACGGGCCTTTTCTTGTCTGGTATCCAGAATGTGGGTAGCATTACAGAAGCACAGGCAGCTTTGCCTGCCCTGTTTGCAGCACAGCTCCTAAAATGTCTTAGTGTCACCTCCCAAGAACTTTGGCAGTTATGAATTCAGGCCCCAGTCAAATTTCAGTTCTTTTCCATGAAGTACAAGAAGTAATGATGAATAGTTCCAGCCATTTTCACTTTTTCTGCCCTTGGAGAGGAGCCCTAGTAAGCATAGGACTCAATTCAGAACTGGATTTATTGTTTGGATTTATTGTTTTAAGCAGTAATTTTTGCACTAGCAATTTGACAACAGATGCCTGGCGTTTGTGCAGACCTGCCTTTGTTCATTTTCAAAACAGTTACTTCCTTCACAACGAGATGCTTCTTGGTTCTAATTTACCGACCATAGATCTTCAATCTTCTTATTCACCAACAAAGTCACTCATTTTCACTTTAAGATACAGAAATGTGTTCCTAATTTTGTCAAAATTAATGCTATACCAAAGGGAATTATTAACATTACATCAAACTTTTCTTTTTTCCTTGTCTTAGTTTAAATGAGCCAAGTTTTGTGCAGTTGACTTTCTGAAGGATATTTTTCCTTTGTGCAGATACACAGATAAAATGGAGTTTTCCAGAATGACTAAACATGCCAAAAGCATTTGGGTTTAGCTCCAATTATTAACAAAGCGCACACACGCAAGTAATTATTTAAATAAAAAAATCAACATTAAACAAATGTTTAAAAAGTACTAGCAAAGAAATGACTGTAGACTACATAGACGTGGAACAGACAAGGACTCCTATCAAATTTCTAACTACAGTTAGGACCAAATACTATTGGGAAGATAAAAATAAGAGAAGCATTTACTGGAGAGATATCCACCATGCACCCAAGTTTCTTTCCACTTAAGTTTCCAAATCCCTTGAGAGTCAGGAGCAATGCCTACCTGTAACAGAAAACAGATTCTAGTGACAGAGCCACAACAAACAGTTTGCAATGTAGAGGCTGCAACATGGACCTGCAGACTGTACTCACCCCATCCAACTTTCACAGAACCTTTAACCTTTGCTGACTTTAGCATTTAAGATGTATTTTCACAGTAAAACAGATGTTTCAATGTTTATTTTACTTTTGTGCAGACCTGAAGCAGAGCCTGTGGGTCCCGAAGGCAGACTGTTTCCTTTTTAAATCAACTGAGGTGGCTGCAGGAAGTGAGAGATAATACCCCTTCTTGCAAATGGTCTCACTTACGTACTTAGGGGGATTGTCAAAAGACCTTGAAATACACAGGATAATTTTCTCCAGTATTTGGGAAAGCTAAAAGAAAAACAGATTTAAAAAAAAAAAGGTATACACACCCTGCTCAACAGTGTCAGAGTGAAGACTGGGTTAAATGTGAATTCAGTTTGAATTAAGTGAAGGCTCAGTAACTTTAGTAATCGTACAATCCCATTCCTCCCCTCCATCCACACACAGACACTTCCCCACCTACCACATCAGAAAAGGAATGGTGCTGCAAGTTCCTGCAAAGCTCACAAATACTCTGCTCACAGACTGTACTTGCCAACAATCAATTAGATCATTCCTGAATTAAAGAAATACCTAGAAGAAATTTTGCATAAACACTACTTTCTTTCAAAGCACAATGGAAAGTTGGCATGTACTACACTTCCCAGACCTGTAATCTGGTTTAAGTATGGGTTTATTTTTAAAAATCTTCAGCTCTCACCTACAGGCTATTCCAGAATCCTGTGAATAAGCAGATCGTTGCTGTCTATTAGAAAGCTTCCTTCTTTAAGTCACCTTCCTCTCAGTACTTTGCAGAAAGTGCAGAACTATACCATGGGCCTTCTCTATAGGCAACTGTCTACCACTGTCCAGAATCTAGAACAGGAAGTATTCAGGATGCAAAATTGAATTTTGATATATAGCTCTCTAATAAATGAAATACACTACAGATTACAGAAAATTTAAGGAAATAGCAGCCATATAACAGACAGTTTCTTTCAGGTATTTACAACATACTTAGCATCACGTCACCAGTTCAGGTACACTTTTTGCTTTTGTCCTCTTCCAGATACTTATGGGTTTTAAAGCATCTCAAATGACCAGATGTTTAAAGGAAATCAGACACTACGCAGGTTAAACAACATGGTTCTATTAAAAACTATCTTTTACCATGGCACTCAGTGACAGTAATACAATACTTTTTTCCACAAGCAACTAATATAAAAATATGCCATAAAATCATCTGTAGACTAGTACGCTAGTACATATGTGTAATCATAACATTCTTTTATAAACTCTTTCCTGAGATACCTTGGGTTGTTTGATGTTCTTGTATTACTGGATCCATTATCTTTATGATTAATTAAAAACAATTGTAAAATATTTTGTATGTGCAGGACACTCAGTAACATGTAAAAAGTAGTATGTAAATATATGGCAAAGAAACAGCTCTTAGAAATTATGCGCTTTTTTACTTTGTTACATTTTTTAACATTTGGCTCCTTGGGAGATGGAAGGGAGGAGCACGAAGAACCTGAAATTAGAGCTACAAATTGATGAAAAGCAGGAAAGCATTTCAGGAATGTTAGAAGTTGGAATATAATATAAATGACACAAAGAGAAAGCCATAATTCACGTTGGCTATGTATTGCCTTATAAAGCAACTGGACATATTTTAGTCAGTTCACAGTATAATAAATATTTTTACTAATCTGTTTTGGAAGAGCAAATGTCTTTTAGGGTTTCAAGCTCCTCTATAAGTTTCTTGTTCTGAACTTCTAGCACTGCAACACGACTCTCCAGACATTTTATGTATTCTTTCTTCCGACGTCGACATTCTTTAGCAGCTTCCCTGCAAAAAGCAGAAGTAAAAAGTGCAAACAAAAAAGCCATTTGCATGCCATTAGAAAGCTCAGCAGAGTATGGAGACTATGACAGAATTCCAAATTTTGGAATATCTCCCAAATCAGTCTTAAAACACTAAGCAAAACTGGGTTCCACAAGGGCCTCAAGTGTCTCTTTCTCAAGTTCATATGGCAACCTGTAGAATTGCTTCCTCTCATGCCTTGATTAAAGTTCATAATAAACAAGGTCCAAATGAAAGACAGTTATTCTGCTTTATGACAATAAAGATCTTTGAGGGCCTTGAGTTCCTCAATGAGAGTCTTGTTTTGGTTTTCAAGCACAGCCACACGATTTTCAAGACATTTGACATATTCTTTCTTCTTTCTGCGACATTCTCTGGCAGCTTCCCTGGAACCAATACAAGGCAAATGACTACAGGAACAGCCACAATACGGCAAAGACTGGATAAATGAAATTACCTGCAATCCCTGCGGTTCCACAATAACAACAACAACCACCACCAACTGTTGGACTGCACAAACAGAACAGCAGATAGCAGCCATAAACAATAACATGATTGAAATACAATTCAAAACAACTAGAACTTGAAACAAATCCAGCATCAACAAATACAAAGATGGAATTAATACATAGAGGAACTGAGAAAACAGTGAGTAAATGATATTGACTTGAGCTATACAAAACACTGAGACTGAAAGCAGCACTTCTTCCAGTCACATTCCATTTTGTGTGTTTAGCCGTATTATCTTCTGCAATCAAAGTCTTAAAACCAAACCCAAAGAATTTACTGTCAGAAAATACAAGCATAACGCTAATCTTTTCAGCTAAAAAGCCAGATGCCAAGCTTACAACTTGCTGCAATTTTTTTAACTTAACAAATCCTCAGTAAAATTTAAGTCCAAACAAAGACTTTATTAGCATTTCAGTATTGTCTACCTGGCACATTTCAGCCACACACATCTGGGGTATTTTTTGTTGCTGGCAAATGGCTGTCTGGAGCCATAGCTCTGCTCAGAATTCTGTATTATCAGAAAACTGAAGCTAAACACTTTGGGTAGTATTTTCAGAAGCATGTGACTGAACAAACATTCAATTCCAGAAGAAATTTTAGAAGTACCAGGCATCCACTCCTGTAACATGACAAATTGTCAAATTGCGAGAGCATTAACTTTCCAGCAAGTTATATGAGAGACAGCACAGTCACTAGTCTAAAACTGAAGAGAGGAGAAACAAAAGGAGGCACAACAATGCAGTGATCCTTGTGAGTAATTTGAAAATAAAGGACAGGCATGAGAGCAAAGCAATACCATGAATTCAATTATAAAGCAAGCAGCTATTGAATATATTAGGAGATCTATATAGCAGACTATTTTTTCCATTAATCTAACTGCCATTGATAGCAGTGGCTATGCATTTAAAAAAAAGAAAAAATGTCCTATGTATAGCAAGAAGAATGCACAGAAAAAGCCTGGCATTTGCAGCATACAATCAAGTCCATGCTAACTAATTAAAAAAGATATAGCCATCTTGCACAATACGCCTCACAAAATGATGGGGCACTGCACAGTAATGTACCCCAGTAGCCAAGTATTTAGGAAAGCCTACAATTATCATTCCATCCTAGGATAAGTCCTCTTCACAGCATCATTAATGGACAGCTGCTAATGAAATCCTCAGATATTTTCCTAACCAATTCTTTGCTGGATGTTTCAAGACGAACAAATCCATACTGGTCATTTTACTGCCAGTAGGGGGGAAAAAAGTGAAAAAAAAATTTCAACAGTAAGTATACCTCCAGATCATCACAAAAAATTATCAGAAAGGGACAACAGTAACACTGATTTCTGAATTACCATAAAATTTTACAACTAAGAATCCATGGCGGTACGGTCAACTCTAACTTTCCAGAGTTGACAGCCAATATTCAATGCTATAAGGATGTGGGATGACTGACAAAAAATTTCTTGCCTTCCTTTCGTCAATCACAGGCAGTGCTCATGACCTTAAGAGGAAAACTTCATGAGAATGTTTTGGGGTTTTGTTTTTGGATTTTTTTTTAGTAAACACGGACTATTAATTGTTACATAGTCTTACCTATTTTTCATAAGTCTCAGCTCTCTCTTGCGTGTTGCCTCCTCTGCCAGTTGCTGGGGGCTGTGCAAAGTCCCTGGTGAAGCTGCCATCACCACTCCCTGAGGTAAGGTAGTACTGGGAGTTCGAATCTGGTAAGCTGGCATGTCTCCAGTGGCAGCTGTATAAAAGAAACATATTTTAAACGTTATGGCAAAAAAGAAGTATTCAAAAGCCTCTAATAACAGATTTCTGTTCCAGGATCCCTACTACATGAAATATTTCACAGGCCTCCAGTGTCACAACTATATTTGTTATCTTACTAGCCTTTACTTCCACACTGTAAAATCAGTTATCTAAATCACTGTAGGACGTGGCCCCACTAGCCAGCCAGACTGAAGCCTGTGAAAGATTCCACAGGGCTCTTTTCAGATGATATAGGGATAGCTGTTTGAGAAACACTGTTAGAGCATCCACACTTATCTCCTGTTTGCAGAATCCTACACAAAGACACTGTGGCAGCCACTGAGGTTTATATGCTACTCCTGTCCTCCAACAGAGGCTTCAGGAGTCAACCTGCTTCAGAAGTGAACTTTCTCCTCGCTCCCTGAGATACCAACAGCACCAGCCTTACTGCCTCTCCTCGCTTCACAGCAGCAGTTTGGCAACCCTTGGAAAACCAGTGAGAACTGCTGTTGCCAAAATGAAAAGGAACAGCAAGTGCTTATGGGGAATGTCCTGTGAGCAAGAGGACCACAAATAGGATGCTGTAGCATTGGTGGGCAAGAGGAGGTAGTGGCAGTTGGACAGGAAGGGGTGTAGCTACACAGTAAATCGAAGTGCAGAAGTTCAGATTCAGCTCCTGAGTCTACCAGTTTTGAGCTCTCCCCAAGCTAAATGCAGAACGCAGATCTGAAATCTGACATGTTATTTGGAACCAGTACCTTCTGATAGTGTCACCCCCTTTCTGTATTCTGAGATACTTTGTTCCTACATGATGTACCCCAACTTTAAAACACTGAAAATCCTAAATCCTGTCTGACATATAAAAAAAAAAAAAATCAAACAAAAAATGTAACCCCTTCAAATTATAAGTATTTACTGAAAATCCTAAGTACTTGTGTCCTGTCTGACATATATAAAAAAAATAATGTAACCCCTTCAAATTATAAGTATTTACATATTTCTTCCCATAAATATTTTATATTATCGCATTAAAAAAACTTCAATTTTTGTCATTAAAGTAATTGAATAATTATTGCATAAAAAAACCTTCAATTTTTGTCATTAAAGTAATTGAATATAAAAGATGAAATTTCAGGGGCTGTTATGTTATACTTAATTTATATTTTAGTTCTTTAAAGCAATTCAAATAATAGAATAACTTAACTTGGAAAAATAAAATACAGACAAAAACGCTTTGTGAAGGCTGACAGGTAGAGCAGTAAAGAGATATCGGTCAACTACAGGGGGGAAAAAGAAAGCAAATCAAATCCAAAACCTAATAAAAAAATTACTAAGTTCATGCAGTTTCTTCATTAATTAAACACAAAAAATAGGATCAAGCTGTGTTTAGACTACAGTTCCACAGCCATGTCCTGAAATCATTATCAGCTTAAACACTGTGCACCTCCCCCCTCTCTCAGTCCTTCGGGTAAAAGTGTTTGTGGAATTACAAGATGAACTGGACCAGTGAACTGACCTGGGTTAGGGATAATCCCCTGGGGATCGGGGAGGGAGAGAGAAATCAGCCCAGAACAGCCCCGTGAGCACTAACAGGCAAGGCTGGGCAAGGCAGCCAGCACTGAACACAGGGCTTGGTCTTCTTGTGTATCTACAAGAGAATTACTTAACCCTTTCAGTTCTCCACATCTGTTAGCAGCCCCAGTTATGTCAACTGGATGATACTTCAGCTATTTATAAAAATGGAATTTTAGAAACTCTTCAGGTTCAACTTTATGCTGGCCACATGACCTACATTATATAGACTCCATGGTAAGAGCTACCTTTTTTTCTCTCTCATCACTAGATTAAAAAGAGAGGTTATCTTAGTTTACATTAGCTACAATGAATCAGAAATCCAACTGAATCATTTTGTAGATCAAGTCCAAGGTCACCTCAGCCTGACAAGACCCAACTACTTTGTTGTCTTTGTTTGATTTACACTCCGATGCCAGCTAAGAGGACCTACTGCTGCTCTTAAGAGGACTCAATGTGATAATGTACCTGCAACATGGTTTAAGAAAAGTGAGTCCCTATCTCAGCAGGGATCAGCAAACACCACTGGAAGTAACATGTTGCGTGAACACTTTGACCAGGCTCCAGTAGTGTCTGTCTCTGCCTAACAGTTGGCTCACTCATAAACCTACTGGCCTGGTAACAGAGACAAATAACCACTTTGGTGGTACAGACCTTCTAAACCCAGACACCACAGTTCAAGAAAAAAAAAAAGAAGCATAGCATTGACAAAGTATCTTTTAGTTGTGCAGTAATATGGACTTTATGATGCATTATTGCAAATCAATTGTTTCAAAGTCTGCAAAATTTTTGTGTGTTATCCAAAAGAGACATTGGGAAAGATGAAACAGATTTTAAAGGCGGGGGAAGTAGCCTTGAAATAAATCATTGTTTAATAATTTATCTCCATATTACAGAGATGAGTCCCTTCCATTTCAGCATCTGAGCCAAAAAAATCCCACACACCTTGATCCAGCCTGACAAACTTTTGTGGCCTTTTCTAATGAAACCCCATGTAGGTTTAAAGTCATTCCTACCATATCAGAAGTAGGACTGAGACTGTTAACAAAGCAACAAACTGGAGATAGTGTATTTCCCTCACACATTGCCTCAGGTCATCTTTTTTTTTTTTCCTGCTTAAAATTGCAAGGGACTAGAAAGTCCCTGAAAACCTAAAGCTCTGAGCTGAAACCTACAAAAAGGAAATTATTAACAGGAAGACAAACAAACAAAACATCAACCTAAAAACCAAACCACATTCAGAAGAGTACAACAAACCTTATAAATTAAGCTCTGAGAAATGAAAAAAAAATAAAATAAATACCCAAACCTTGTATTGGTAGATTCTTGGAAGAAGTAACTTGCTGAACACTAGAGAGCATCCCCGCATTTGAGTTCTTTCAGTGACTTATCCAGGAGGAAAAAAAAAAGCCTGCTGTATTATGTATGATGAAAAAAAGCCTATGCATTAGCACGGCTATTCTCCCCTTCTGTGAGTCATAATGATGGGACTAGATTATCAAAGGGGTTTTAACTTCACCACTGAACTGGCTAAACAAGGCGTGAATCATTATTCCTTTGAGCATTTAAAAAAGAAAAAAAAAAAGAGAAAAAAAGCAGAACAAACGGTGGACACGAAGATCGGTATCTCTGGATTAATGAAACAATCTGCACCAGCAGCGAGCAGCAGCACGTCGGGACCGGCTGCGAACTGGTTAACATTAACCGACCTGCCGGAGGCAATTGACGAAGCAGAAAGGAACTGACTAAATCGCAGCATGACTTGGGGCTGACGTCAATGTGTATCTTGTTTGGAGTTTAACTTTTCCAGTTCCCTACTGCAACATGATTCCAGGAAATCTAATGACGTCAGCCTTTTGAACTCAATTAGCTGAGGAACAGACCATTTTAACAGCGGAGGAGAAAACAAGCGGGCGTTACAGCACTTAAAAATTACTGCTCGCAAATTTGTTTGCGTTCAGTATTTTCTTTAATAATAAAAGCATAGGATTTATTTACACTACTGAAACAACGCACACCTTTCTCTTACAGCTATGCTTAAGTCTATTTTAACTATCAAATCTGAAGTGTTTATTGCTAAACAAAGCACTGTCGTTTTTACAAAATAAAACAACAGTTATAAACTTAGTAACATATATGACTATCTCCACAATAAAGAAGGACTTAAGGAGTGGTGGATTTTTTCAGCAAAATGCTGCATCAAATAGTAAAGATTAGTTATCTGAATCAATCTGTGCAAGAACTCACGTACTCACAGTGATTTCCCTCTTCCCCCCCCAAAAAAACTGTTAAAACTGCTCTGAAATCCTCCACTGACTAGATATAACCAGAAGCTACTTGTACTAGTTTTGAAAGATGAAATAGTTACAGCAACAGGTTCAAAAGACAATGTCACAAATACCAAGTAAGCACTGCTTAAATACCCAGAAATATCATGTAAAAGACTAGCAAATTTTTTACCTGTTTCATCCCCTGTTACAGCCATGATCTGCTTCTGCACACACGACTCTCCTGCTCCTCTGCCACAGCTCAGCATGAACTGCTCCAAACTAGCAAGCATGTGCAGGATTACAAGCAGGAGCACTGACATCACTATGACCTCACTTGCTTACCACTGTCATTAATATGCTCTGTCACTGGAACAGCTCACTGAAACTGCAGCCTGAAGAACTCCTTTTCCAGTAACCCCTTTCTTTCCTTCCTCTTCCATATTTCTATAAGCCTAGCTTTGTTCTTTTCCCTTGAATTATTCATAAAGCTACAGAAAGCACTCACCACTAAGCTGGCTGTAAAGCAAGACCTGAAAATTCACAGCACTGGCTGAGAGAAATTAAAACGTGGCTCTAGAATTCACGAATGAATCAGAATGCTAAAGTCATGACTGAATAGAAAATAGGAAAAATTTTAAAAGACATGCAATTGTTTTGATTGGAGCAGTTCCACTGAAAGGCAGAGAACTGTCAGACACGTGCAAGCCAGGAAAGCTTAATAAGCTGTAACAAACACGCAAATGAAAGGCTAAAGCTCCTTGCAGTGGGGGGCAACCCACAACCCACTCATTTAATTTCAGTTAAAAGCTTCAGAAAAGAATGACGAAAGCTCCAACAAAGTAAAACAACCTAAAGCTAGTGGTTTCAGATGCTGTAACAGGCAGAACAGTAACTCTGGGTAGGAACTACCTCTCCCCACTTCCCTCCTTTTTCAAAATAAGTCCAACAGATCTGGTTGACTTAGTTTTAAAAATTATTTTTAAAAATCTCAACTCTAACAGTTACTCCTTATTTACATCCATTTAAATTAAATTAGTTTCAGACCAGTCCAGGCACTGGTTAGTATATAGGGCACAGCAAACTTCTAAGGCTTTTGTCTGTAATAAACAAATTCAGACTGGTAATTCATCAGCTGTGAAGCTATACCAAGAACAGCAATAATGGAAGCATCAAGGCGGAAGAGGAGCGCCCTGTGATTACAGAACCACTTCAGGATCATATGAGCAGAAGATCAGAACTGAAGCACACAAGAAATTCAAGCCACAGATCTCAAATACCACTTTTCATATCACTGACCATATTATGGAAACACAAATACATCCCAACACAGTGATTTTTGATGCAACTTTTCTACACTCACTAATAATTAAACACTTCCTAGCCAGCAAAAAAACCCCTTAAGCTGTATTAGGAAAATGTCAGGACATCAGAACTGCCTCTTATTTTGCCTATGAATATAAACTTGTAGCAAATGGAATATCACCCAGTTGGATCAACACCTTTGGCGCTTTTATACGAATCCTTTTTCCCTATTACAGGTTACCAGAAAATATCAAGCACAGGGTTTACGTGTTGCCGTTCACTATTACATGAGACACATCAACCAATACTTTAGAAAAAACATAAATACATATGCTATCTGAAAGATTCTGAAACAGATCTTTGCTGCCCTAGGACTGATACTCCATGTTGGGTTGCGGGGTTGTTTTTTTTCCTTTCTTTTACTTCTGTGATTATTACAACTAAAATTCATAACCTGTCTACCTAAAATAATTATAAAAATATACATAAGTGGAAAGATTACGAAGCAGAATGTTGCTTTTCTATTATAATCTGTGCTATCAGTATATTAGCTGAACAGTGAACTGCAAAGTGTACAGAAATGGCAAAAGTTCACAAACTATATTCCTACAGACCTTCTAGCATAGGCAAGATGACCTGTAGTAAGGACACACTAGGGATCTGTAGATCCAACTAATTCCATTTTCTTACTCCATCCTGAATAACTCGGGTTTGTTGAGGATATGCAATTATTATCATAAAGAGATCTGTATTACTTTAAACATCCTCAGGTGCTTTCATACTCTTTTTATATACTCTTTTTTAAATTAAGGTTGGGTTTTAAAATAAATTTTCCAGTATCAATAGCGTGTATAAGTCGAAACCTTTTATTTTCTCATCAGCTCTGAGCTCATGCTCACTTACTATTCCCTTTTTCTTTTTCCCTGTATATGTTACGTAGCATTTTTCTTCTGTGTGAACAGCTATGAGCATCACTAAAGCACTGGACTTTGGGCCAAAGCAACAGAGAATTCTAGGAAGTCAACTTCTCTGTGCACGGAGAACAAATCAATTTAGTTAAAAGCATCTAGAAGCTTCCAGAAACAGGATATAGCAGGATTCAGTAGCTGTCTCTGAATCCATTTTGAACATTTTCATCACAGGCAAGACACTTAATGGGCTACACCATCAAGCAGTCGAGCCCATCACTGACACTGAATAGGGAGGTTAGATGACAGCCCTGTCAGAGGACAAACCAGAAACACTGAGTCTGTAAAGGAAGGCCAGTCAAATGAAATTCCCAAGGACTGAAATGCTGCCAGACACCAGTTCTAGGCTTCTTCACAGACTGGGGAGGCTTTAGGAAATAACTGAGGAGCTACTGTCTCTGCCCTCCCCTTTGCCAAAGTTCTGAAGGATCAAAGCAATACATACAAAATACTACAGTCAATCTTGAGAGATGGAGAATTCCTCTAATTTAGGGGATGTGCATGCACAGGTATAGAAAACAGACTCATAATCAGAAAACATGCACTACCAGAGTGGGAAATTTGAATGAGGGACAACCAAATTTGGTTCTTAAGGCTTTGCTAAAGATGTATTCATAGTAATATTTAGGAAAGTTATAACAATACTATCTGCATGATACAAACTAGTATTTTGGTTTAGGCTTTTTTGTATTGCAAGTCTCAGAGCTTCCTCGAAATGCTTCTGAAGAGTCTTGGAAAGACAATGTATTTCAGCAAAGAATTAACCAGAGGCAATGGAAGAATTCAAATTAGGTACCACTATTCAGCATTGTCTCAACAAGTTCAGGTATCTACAAGCTATTACCTTTATTTACATCCTGGGCTTCCTTTACAGCAAAGCGAGAAAGACCCACTTAAAGACAGAACTTATTTCAAACATTCATATTAGGGAAAAAAAAGCACCTCAACTTGGACTTCACCAACTGTTTCAGATATCCGTGTCTACATTTAGTCAATGACTCTCATCCACTCCGTAATTACATCTCTTCCCCATTTTCAAGGGTTTTCCTCAGCATAACCCAAATCCCAACCCTAACTTCCCTGCTATCAGTAAGAATCCAAGTTGCCTTTGGTTCTCAATCTGCCTCAGCATTTCCAAAAGGCCAGGAACAACGCAAGGAAAAAAGATCCTGCATAAACTACAGCAAAGTTCAAGAACTTACTATTTACAGGTCAATTCGCATGTGTGCATTTTATAGAACCTACAAAATGTTCTTCTGTGAGAAAACTAGCTTCAGTAAAGGATCTCCCTTCTAATAACTACAAGAATCAGAGGTTGCAAGGAAATTCTGCCCTAATTTAAAGAACTTCAGAACTCATTTTATTAAGATTAACTGCTAAAAAAAACAAATTATTTTCATATATTAAATGAGAAGTAGCCTCAGCATCTCATTTCAATCTGTAACAGGACCTATACTGCAATTAAAATTATATCTCAAAAGCCTAGACAAAGGAATTCAAAACAGAAAGTGATTTTGTACCATTATTTCCTTCTTGTAACTTTTTAAATGAAAAGAAGTAGCTGCTTTACTGAGCAGAGAAACTGAGTCTACTCCTAAAACTGTCTTTCATCTTGTTATTCATAAATATTTTATTTAATAGTGCAATTTTGTCAACACAAATTAAAAAGCCTTTTAAGAAAAATTATTTTATATGAAAAAACCAAAATACAGTAGACTAATAAAGTATACCTTGAACAACAACTTGGCTTCCAGGAACAAAAAACTGTTGTGTGCCATCAGGTGATTGTCCTGCGTATTGCACAATGGTAGCACCTGGCTGAGGAGCTCCTGAATTTGTCATTGATAATGCCTGTAGTCCGTGGACACCATCAGAGGATGGATTAGAAATCTGAATTGTACCACCTTGAGTTATAGTAACTAAACATAAAAAGAAAAAGAAAAGTTAGGCAATAGAAAGAGATCTAACACATGTTAAAAAGCACATCTCCCTTTTAAAGTAACATGCAGGCTCCATAAGGTATTAAGGGAGGAAAAAAAAGAAAAAATGAGCAAGTTGTTTTGGGGCAGGGTGGAAGAGAGAATAAATAAATCATTGTCTCTGTTCTTCACAAGATCCAGGACAAGAGCAGGCTGCCAGCAGCACACAAGCTTCCCAGCCAGACTTGTCACCTCTACCTCCCAGAGAAGTTATACACAGCCAAATTCTGCCTCTCACAATTAGCACCAAAAATGGTATGTCTACACCATCACGGTATCACACCACGTAAAACCAGCCAGCTTGAGTTCACGAGCAGTAAAACACCAGCACAGAATCATACGAAGTTCTTGGCTCCACAGTGAGCCTGGGCAAACAGTTATGTCACAGCTGTCCTGCAATTATTCATTCAGATCACAACCCAGTACTTTTCTAAACAAAAGTGAATTAACTCCAGTAACTCTCTCCTTTACAGGACTGATTCCTGCCATATTCCCCGAACAACACACTGCCCCCCACCCCATTCACTGTCCTGATCTCAACCACTGCACAGACTTCTTGTGCTGGAGCTCTACTGGAAATTGGACCTTCAAGGAAGAGTACAGGACTTTCCTGGACAGTCCCTGGGGTTGTACATCATGCAGGTGGATGGGTGTAAGTGGCATCTTCTCTTCTAGCTAGGACTGAATATGGTGCTAACACCATTCTCTCAGACTGATTAATAGCTCTAATTCAAAAAAATCAGATCTTTCCCTCCCTTCCAAAACTGGAAAAAGCAAATAAAGTTGGCCTTTCCAAAAAGATTTATTAATTCTCCAATTGTTAAAAGCCTAAGACAGCAAGCAACCCAAACAGATGGCAAAAGAACAAGTAATTTTCATTTTCCCTACATCATTTCAAACAGAACATCATGATATGCACAAGTAGGCAAAGAGGGGGCAGCTGATTCACACACTCCAATTGAACAAACAACTCTTGCACAGTTAGACCACCACCCCAGGTGAGGCAAAGCAATGGTTTTTTTCAGGATTCAATAACCAACATGACAGAACTACAGCCAACAGACTAGGTTTGTAGTCAGATCAGGCTACAGGGCTCATACACAAGACAACACTTTATGCAAAACTATCCATTCCCCTTACAGAAAGATAACACATGTATTGATGGAGGTAACTGGGAAAGACACTTTATCTACCTGGTCATGCCTGTCAGTCTGTCTGCTTCCAAAAGCCAAAGCCAATAAGCTCTGAAGAAAAACACACTTGGAAACCATGGCAACATACCATTTTGGCTGGTAAAAAGTAAGCAAAGAACACCCATCACTGCTGCTAATAGAAAAAAGAATTTTTTTTCAAGTTCTTCCAAAAATAGTCATCCCAGACATCCAGACACCAACATACAAATTTATCTTTTCAACTAAACTGCCTTTTCTGTGCAGTAATAGAGAGAACAGTACGGAAAATAAGGAATCAGCAAATGTAGTAACATGCCTGTTTTAAACCAGGCCACAGTACAGATGGCTGTAGTGACACTGCCAAGACCAGTTCTTCATTGCCATGGACATTGTACAAGCTTAATTCATCAACTGCTGGATGCCTGCACAAGACAACCCACACAACCAAAGCTGGCCAAGACGAGAAGAGTACTAAGATACAAGAGTGATAAGCAGAAGTAGAGAGCTATTGGCAGGAGATGTAAAGATAAAAATCGATACATGTAGTGACCTTCTGCATCTTATCCAGACTGAAATCAATGCAGGAGATGCTGCATTCCCACACAGTGTTCCCAGTTTTAGCTCACAGCAGTTCCTAAGGATCACAAGCAGCCAACAGGATGGCTGCTGAAAAATGCTACAGATCTGTGTCTTATATGTGTAAGGACCAGAACTAAACCGTCAAGCCCTCTTCAGTAAATTCCAAATTAAAACCCCCTCTACTACATGGAGATGACCATCCTTGCTAACACTTTGACTCGACCTGAAATTTAACTTTTCTGGCAAGCAATAACTCTAAGGGTAATGATAAAGTATCCTAAGAAAGAGATTGAGGTAATTGTTCCAAACCAGAATTAGACAGAACACACAGACTTCAACGCAGCAAGAGATGTGTGATAGTTTAACTTACAAAGTTTAACTTTAAAAAAAAAAATAAAAAAAAATTGGGTAAGAAAAATCATTTCCAGGAAGACAAAGCTCTCAAAACAAAGTTTTTGAACCACAATCAGGTGAGTCTACAAAGTCTGACATTGCATCCTGAAGCAATGCCTCATTACAGCTGAAAACTTATTTAACAAGTTAAATTACCTTAAATATACAGCACATGTTTTAGATTACGAATTTATCTTATTCAAAGAAAAAGCAGCATAAAACAGAATTATTCTAAGCTTGGCTCATGTGAAAGCCAAGTTTAAATTAAGATAAATAAGTTTTAATTAAAGTTTTGCAGACTGTTAATTCAAGCAGATTGTTGGTGATATTCTCTGTTTGATTTTTCAGAAGTAAATATCTGATTGAAAAAGAAAGCAAAACCTGTGAATTTCATTATTCTTTTATATGCTTCCCTGTCACTAAGATTTATAGCTATGTTCAAATTAAAACATCCTCAATTAAGAGGTAAGAAATACCTCTTGCAAGACATTGCTAGTAGAAGTACAACTCTGGTTTCTTAGAGGAATCTAAGATCAAGAAACCTAAACTCCTAACTTCTCAGAAATCCTAAGGGTTTGAAGGCTTAATAGAACACAGTACAGACACTACAGCACTTCTTTTTAAGCCTTGAAACTGAAAAAAAATATATATATTTATGTATTTGAAGCTAAACCTAAACAAAACCAAAAATATAATTCAAAAATTGAAGAAAATAATTTAATTTGGTCCAGGATACCTGACAGATTTTTTTATTGGGTGTCATTTACCATGACTACAAGTCCACAGAAAAGAGCCCTTCAGATATTGGATATCATGAAGCAGATGTTTATGTCTATACCTTACAGAAAGGGTAAGAAAAGCAGCTTAGGAGCCCAAGCTTTCTATGGAACCCGTACTTTCTATGCTGAAGGGGTAGATATTATTATAGGCAAATTCTGCTGTCTCAGAGTTCTTAATTACTTCAGTTGCATAAATTAAATATAGCTGATGAATTCTAAGGGTGACTAGAATACAACTAGAGAAGTACTCTACCCTCTTTTCTATGCCATTGCGATGTTTCAATAGACTTCCTCTGTTCTCTTGTTTCAGGGAAAAAACCCCACATTTCTTTTGCAATTTTCCTGTCATTACATCAAAGGAAAACTACCTGCATTTCACATGAAAATACATGAAAAATATAACTGAAGGAGTGCAGCTTTATCCAATACATAATTGAAAAACCAGTTGTTAGGAAATTATCCCTTAGATGCTATATGATTAAGTCGAAAGAAGTTGTAGGGAGCGAGGTATGCAACGTTTTAAACATAAATACAGGAATTAAAAAAAAATAAAATCTATAGAACAAAACTGTGAATCTAACTTTCAACTTGCATTTGGATGAAGTATCAAATGTTGGAGACCATGATTTAGGTTAGTTTTGCAGCTAGAGTGTTCATACTTGACAACTGGAGAGGAAGAGACACAGTTCTTTCTTAAAAGAAAATTCACAGTTAAGAAATAATTTCATACTCCAACCTTACACTTTAAAAAAGTCTAATACACTAATTGTCATGTCATGTAATGAATACCACTATTACACAGCAAATCACAGTAATGTGAAACTGCAATGATTTATAGCACTGAACATTCACATGTAAGTGTCAACATTTTTCATTTCACCTAAGCCTCACCTCCACATTCTTAATACACGGCAGCTTTAGGACTAAATCTGGCAACCAACAAACATTACAATAAACAGACTAAAAGTCTATAATGCCCATGATAGGAAAATATAAATATAAAAATTGCAATTATTTAGAAATATAGAAGCTGTCATTCTTCTTCATCAAAATTCAACATCTCAACTTCACTATGGAACTCTTCAAAACAAAGTTGTTCCTATATATTTTCTGCAACGTCACATAGTATCTTTGCAAACATACTGTATTGCCCTGTGTTAGTGTGATACAGGTTGGTTGGCATGGCCATCGCAGAAATTCCAGAAGGTGCTCCTTCATCATCTGACTTGTCTTCTTCTTCAATCTTCGGTACTGCAGGACCATCTGATGAGAGTTCATTCAAAATTTTTCTAAAAAGGAATGTAAATAATTTTATATATGTGAAGATCCCTATCAATGAGAAAACTAAGTCACTCACTGGCTTTTATCAGACAGTTTTGCTGTAATACATAAGCTGCCTTTAAAAACCAGCAAGACCAAAATAAAATGTCCTTACCGGTATGAAGGCCTTCTTGAAAGTATTTCCCTACGTTTTTGAGAATCAATTATCCCTTCTGATTCTGCAGATTCATCTGGAATTGATGCTACCTGTAATAGCAAAGTTTCTGAAATTCATAACTTAATAAAAAAAAAAGAAGATAGCAGCAGAGTAAAAGATTATTTTAAAAAGTTCCTTCCATGTTTGCATACAGGAAGTTTCTGCACTTATGTATCACTAATCATGTGATCTTGGACTTCCTTTTTCCAAAGCAAATCACATATTATGAGGTTAGCAATTCAATGCCATTTAGATTCTTCCATTTGAATAAGTAAAAAAATAAAAATAATCCAGGTTACTTTTTTGTGAAAAAGTACTGAAGACAGAAGATTTAAACATGAAATGAAACATTTAAATACAGTACTGCACTAATGCACCTTATACAACAGTATATAATACAAAAGCCTCTTCAAAACCACACCAAAGCTACTTAGAAAATAAGTTTATTTAAATATACACATTTATTACACTTAGCAACACATGTTCATAAATACAAATACATTGCTTAGTAATACTGTGCAAGTTTTAGAAACTCCTGACAAGTCAAGAATGTCTCATTTTCTCAGACCTTTATTAGTAGCATTTTCACAGGTTCTCTCTTAAAATTACCAAAGATGACATTAAGGCCTGGAACTGTATCACACTCTTTACCAGCAACAATCCTATTACACAGAACTGAAAGTGATTACTGAATGAGGAAACACACTATTTTCTTCATTCATGTAAGTACTCAGAACTATTGGTGTAAGATTTCCAAACTGAAACAATGCAGTAAAGTTAGTGTGGAAGATGACCTTTTCACTTGAAGGCAGATCAGACTGCAGTTTCAGACTAAGCGCTGTTTTAGGCTAACATTGAAAGTCATTAAATCTCTACACCAGCCTAACGAAAAGAAAAGACCACCTAGAAACAATGAGAGGTGCTTCTGCATGTCTACAGATGTATAGCTCCAAACCAGACTGCAGAGCTGACTGGCAGAGAAACAAGAGCTTCAAGAAGTTTGTATTCATCCTTTTGCAGGATGGACCACCGCTGACCAGCAAAGATGTCTCTGAAAAGTATTTCTCTCCAGTACCCTACATGATCTGCTTGTGGATCAACCTTCAAGCCACTGGCATAAGCCTTCAAAACTAAAGCAGTATTACACAGCTGAGAGTCTGGGCATCCCATCTCAAAACAGAACTCTCATTCTGCAGAGGGAAAAAACAATAATAAAAATCTATTTGGCTTAGGCCAAACAGCAGGAAAACAAGACCTTAGCGCCTTTAAACCTTCCCATTCTACTAAGGGTTACCAGTAGCCACCCTTAGTTTGTGAAGAGGGCCAAAGAAGTCAAGAACAGCCATACTTTGGGGAAGAAGGTAAGGAAATCAAATGATGATTTAAGCATTTTAATGTGAAAGAGGACACTTTCTGCAAGAAATTTCAAAAGTTCTAATTTTCTTCAAGACAAAGAGATAAATTTCATGTTTCAACTTGTTCTAATAGCAAGCAACCACGTTCACAATGCTAATCAATTGAAGCCACTGGCATTTGTTCCTGGGTATCATTCAGACTTCAGCTTTACCACACTGCTCTGCATTTGAGCAAATTTAACTTGGAGCTCATATTAGTCCGCCAATACCTGATACGTTACAGGGAGCAAGTAGAAAAGTCAAAGCAATCTGAACTTCAAACCTTCCTACAAGTAAAACAACATTAACAAAACAATAGGGAATGTGATATAGCTAAGCATTTCTTTTTTCCATCACAAAAGCAACAGTATTACAAGAAAAAATTTTGAACACCTTCCAGTTTTAAAGCTGCAGGTGTTTGAGGGAGAGGTCATGGGAGCTTTAGAATCAACCCTCAGTGTTTTTTGCCTTTTTTAATATTAGAGTAAATTGATATCATTTCCCAAGTTCCCCACTGTTTGGCAGAGATAGGATATCAAGTTAAAGCCAAACAATCTGGAGGAAATGCCAGGTGGCAGGATAAAGTACTTAAGAGGATCACAGAAGGGCTCAACAACCTCTGCAATGGAGTCCTTTACAGTATCTTCAAGCCCTTCTTGTACAGTCACCTTAATTGCCATTAGCATGCTCAAATGAAACCGAACCAAAACCCTAGAACTAACTATTAATCAGGACACAGCTTTCCTGTCTCTCCTCCTTTGGGAAAAGAAAGACAGCCAGAGTTCACTCAATACAACAAACAGTTGACTTCCACTCCCCTAAGACGACACAGAAGTAGCTGGAAAGAGATTCCAGACAAATTCTTCCTCCTGAGTTTTGCAGCATGACCTCTATATTTGCATGTATGTCCTGACTATAGTGACTTGAAGAAAAGCAGTGGCAAACTGGGAATGACTGTAACATGCTTATCTGATAAAGTTTACTCTAGGACATTATCGTTAGAAAGAATTCCATTTAAGAAAGTATTTATTTTGTAGTCTGATTTGACTTCAAGTTTGACCAAACCCAGGTGTTTTGCCATCTTCCATCCCTGTTGCAATAGTGATCTAGAACTTGAAAACCTTAGCAATTCCTATCATCTACACCTACTGCTTACAAATAAATATTCAGTATCTGGCCACAGTTTTATTCTTTTTCTCTAATCTCTAAGATAAATCACACTTATATATGCCTGTTTATTTATTATACTTGAAAGCCACTAAGTCTCAAACATTAAAGGTGGCTTCTCAAGCAGACTGACAACACGTCTTTTCCTTAACATGTTGCAATGACTGCAGGTAAAACAGTTCACACATAACAGGTAAAGAGCCTTTCACCAGAGATATCAATTCTATTTGCAAAAGCAGTTCAGTTGACATTTCACAATCAGATTTTAAGAAAACTAGAGCAAAGGCATTCATAGCTACAAGAAAAACACCAATGGGAGGCCAAGTCACTTTCAAAGCACTGCAAGTTCATTGTCTCTATTTTCACTAGTTAAAAGCTCTGAAAACTCTTAAGCATATTGCACCAGTCCCTGTTTTCTAACACCCGCAATTTCAAACATTTGCCAAAAAAAAAGTTTGTTTTGATGCTACCCTTATTTTTGATCTTATATCCACACCAGATGCTCTAACAGGATCTGCTAAAAACAACAAGGAATCATTTGACTATAATACATTTACTTCCATTACATCCAGATGCTTTCCAAAAAATACAGTATGAGATACTTGCAAATTTACGAGTTCGCAGTCTCATTAGAAACATGTTATTCATAGAATTTAACAGAACAGAAAAACCTGCAAGGTACAGTGAAGTCAGGCCACATTATTACACAAATATGCTATTGCTTAAGGTTCAGGGTTCCAAGACACAAGTACTTCAAAGACAAACAGGAAGCATTAAGGAATGGCTACACAATGCTTGTAGAGCTGCTACTGGTTGGCAGTTTGCCACCTTCCCCCCTGCTGTTTCTCGCACCATATAAGTACATCTTGCAGCACCCAAAAGAATGAAGAGAAAGTGAAGATGGGGTTGGGGGGAAGAGTTATGAGGCACCAAATATTCATGAAAATGTAAAAATAAAAGAGCTAACCTGAACAGCTTGCATGTGTGGTGACTGAATGACTGAGGGCTGTGTGGCTTGAATGACACCCTGGACATGAACAGTTTGACCAGAAGGCAACTGCACTAGAGTTACAGCTGGAGATCCTCTTCCAGCACTTGATGCAGCTACAGAAACCTGCAAAAATTACAATCATTGTGTTTAAGTAACATGCCTTAAGACTTCAGCATATGCTTTTAGAAGTGATACTAAAACAAACTGGTTCTGATGCCATATCTAAAAATAGCTAAATGTATTTAATTATCACATACAGAAATAAACAAGTTTTACTAGTAAAAATATGGTGTGCATCTTTCCAAATGGTATGGAAAGCTTAAAACTGTCCCCCAGAAAATTGCAAATCTGTCTTCCTTTTTTTCTTTTTTTTTTTTTTCTTCAGAGACTTCATGTTTTCTTTTCAGTAAAAAACAACTCTAAGCTATCACACACAAAATCTGCTGACGCTAGCATGAAGGTTAGCAAGAACCTCAAGAAATGTAACAAAAAATATCAATAACTGAAGTGTTATGTTGCTACATCATCATAAAGGACAGAAAGTTCTTAGTCAGGAAAAAAAAAAATAATCCAGAAATGCTTTGGTTTTGCTTTGTTAGGCAAGAAGTTTAGTTTGAACTTATGCTTTTCAGACAGATGTCTCAAGAGATGTGAGAACTTTTCAGATAGCAAAAAAAATTGTTAAATAATACAATACATGGATTCATATGTTGGTTTAGTTTAAGAAATCCTCTTTTTAGACATATATATATATCATTCAAGAAAAACAGAGTTGGAGTGTACCAGTGCCTTAATATAAAAATAAGGAACAGCTGTACCTTCTTTAGGCCTAGCAAAGCTGAAGAAAGTGTTTTGTTCAGGAATAATCTGATCCCTTTTTCTGATGACATTTTAGAGCACACACAGCTTTCCCCAGCCCTTGGCTCTCAAACATCAGTACAGAGAATGAATGGGTTAAGAAACAGTTCAACACCTACAGGCTAAGAAATAGTCCAATATTCATCCTATTACTGTTAAGTCTATTAACAGAAACAAATACTGAAGGGAAAACACTATGATTAATCTCAAGTTCTATGTGATGAAACATCTCTAAACTCAGAAGAGAATGACCCAAATAAATCATACGATAAAAAGACAGTGTTTTTCAAAGTAAACTGCATTGAAAAAGATTATTTATATATTCTGCACGTACAAGAATAAACCCAGACTCATATCTAAAATTCTGGTATTATTCCCTTCCCAGCTTACTTTTTGGGGCTGAGAAGTATCTGGTATGACCAATAAAGGTAAAAAAGAGATGACAGTGAGAAGAAAAGCATGATGAATGCTGAATACAAAAAGTTAAAGAAAGTTTTGTATTTTTCTTTATTCACACTTCAGGGTTTGTTTTTTTTAATTCCAAATATAGTAAGAAATTTTCATTCCTGATCCATAAGTCATTGCTTGTCTGGGAAATATTCATTTCTTGATGTAAGAGAAAAATTTTAGCTACTATCAAAATGCATTACTATCAAAAAGACCAAATGTTGCCTCAAATGATGTTGAGGAGACAATGTTTCTAGGAAACACTGACAGGATCTTGTAAACATTCACTATGTAATTATTCAATTGTTATAGGAAACTGAACCACTTTTCAGGAAGTAGAACAATTGAGGATATTTCTAACCCTGAAATGGAAACTATCATTCCTTAAATGGCATCAAATAGCAAGGATATACAAACCTTCTTCCCAATCAATAAAACAAATATTAACATTAATATCAGAAATAGGTATTTAAGATTGCTATCTAGAAAGCGTCAAAGACTTGAAGAGTATGAGCTACTTTGTGTCAAAGCTGACATCATACCTAACCCAAGCTTCAATGAAAGAGCATGGAGCAGTCTGTATGTTTACAAAGCATTCCAACCTTTCCAAACATTACAAAGGCAATTTCACCAAACCTTTTGATTTACTGCCACCTTTGTGAGAGCTGCAATCTGATACAATATTCTGCGTATCAGAAAGAACTTTCTGAGTACGGCACAGACAATACAAGGTGAACAGTTTATGAGTTTGTTTTTAGTACACAATGGGTCAAGCACATATAATCAGGAAGTGATCCAGTGCTCAAGATTAAGAAACACTACATTCATTTAAAAACTCCTTATTCAGTATAACCATACAACAAGAAGAGAAAACCACACTCAGCTAATACTCTGAAATGTACAATATCACAGGAGAAATTGTTTTGTCCCCATTAATTCAGATAAGAGATTAAATGGGGGAAGTAGGGTTGAGGGAAAAGGACATGGTAGTGTTTTAAAACTGGAGAAAACCAGAAGTGATTTGTTTGTTCATTTATATCTATTTTAAATAGCTCAACTTGATTTGATCACCGTTTGCTGAGTTTCCACAAATACCCAAAGGTTCTACAATGTGTAATCCACAAACTTTACTTTAAAATGTCTGTGATTCCTTTGTATTAGGTTTGTTCCTACAACTAAGACTGAAAAAAATCTTCCCAATTTCCTATTCTGCATGTTTTATAAATATTAGAAATTATTAGAACAATTTTGATTCACATTTCCCTTTGCAGTTTTCAAATGGAACATTCCCGTGTTAACCAAAATACTAGAACCTTTTGATGCTATAACGAATAAACGCTGACTGAAGCAGACTTGGCAAAAATATTACTTTCTGACATTAGCGATGAGCAATGCGACCCTTAACATCATTACTTTAAGGGCTGTCTGGTACAATGACTGAAAACAATCCACAGAAGCAACTCAGGAACACAGAGGGCGAGGGGAAGCTTTACACAGTAAGCACCTGATTAAACAGTGTAAGGGTTATGTCGCTGACAGCAGCAAAGAGACTTTAGATGTTGTAATGTCCTTTTGGGTTCTGTCCTCTTGGGTATGCTACAGCCAAGTCTAATAGCTTCAACAAACACCAACCATGCATTCTGTCGTAGCAGTGCAGTCCCAGACTTTGTATGTTTGGAAATGTAAGTGCTCCCTCTTCCAAGAAGGGAGAGAAAAGTAGCCAGCAAAAAAGATCATGAACTATATTCATACTGAGGCATACATTCTTTCAAAGAAAGAGCTTACTCATCAGTTTGCTGGCTTCAAGATGTGTTTCCATCCAAACAGTTATACTGTGGATGTACGCACTCTTGTCACCCAAGGTCAGATAACTTTTCCCTACAGAGTACTGCAGAGGTTGCATTCACATTCAACCTCAATCATACTGCTGATATGAAGTACCTAGTGCACAGCTCCATCTGATTATCTGTCCCCGCTGTAGAATCTAAACACCACAAGGACTCCAGAAGTAAAGTGAAAGTACTTCTGGTAAAGGGAGAACCAAGGTAAACGCATCTTGGCCTCAACTAACAAGAGAGCAAAGGACTGACCACACTCAAGCACCACTTATGGAAAAGCTGAAGACTGCAAAGTTCTGGTCAATTCCAATGCCAAAGTGGCAGCACATATTTTCAAGGAAGACAAGGTTAGGCTGATTTCAGCCATTTGGTGACAGCTTATCCTTGAGGAAGCACAAAATGGTGACAAGGCTGCAGTTTTACAATGCTCTAACATCAACTTCACTAAATGTCCTGGACTTGCATTTGGCAGGCTGATTTTAGAGCTGTATTTACAGTAGTCTGGAAAACTTCAACTGCTCTGTTGGGAGCAAGATTTAAGACAAAGCTGGATGCTGAAAGCCCAGAAGGAGAACAGCCCTTAAGTGCTAAACCTGAGCAGTCCCAGCTTGCAATGGCTATGCACTCCAGGCTCCAGAAAATTCCCTCTGCTCTCTCTGACAGGAGAGAGTGTAAATCCTGACCTCTGACTAGTTCAGGGCCAACACTGAGAACTCAACAGATGCTATCCCAGACCAAGACAGCAGACAGCTGTACTAATAGATAGAATATGACAAAGTTTACAGAAAGGGATTCAAAGAAGAACTCATCAAGGATGAAGGATTAAAAAAAAAAACCACAACTGAAACCATTTTGTCAACTCTGAAAATGGCCTAAGTACATTCATCTTACATTTTTATAGTTATATTTCATGTAGCTGAGCACAGGGCAACGCAGAATGCAGTATAGCCTCTAGACATTCTGCAAAAGGAACACCTAATTTCTCTTTGAATAACAATGCAGATGTAATTGTTCCAAGATATAAACTTGACCATCATCATCATCATCAGAATATTTCAATCCAAATTAACTTCCTTTTAAAAACAGTCCTGTGTGTATTAGTATAAGATCTGTGAGTGTGAGATAGAACCCATGGAGCCCATCTCAAAACAGGTTGTGAAATTTTGCACCTTGCACTTTTGTTCTTCCCTGAAGAAATGGCGTTAAGCTTCTGTGCACACAGGTGTTCTGTACACTTCAAACAGCTTCTAAAGACAACCATCAAAATTTTTACAAATTAATATTTTCTTACCTAATTATTTTGGTGGCTGGATCATGAAAACAATACTGTGTCAATTCATTGACTGTCTGAAAGCAAGGGGTGCAAAAAATTCAACTATAAATGTGAACTTACTCTAGAATAATTTTATTTTTAAAATAAACCTTTGAAGACAGAAATTGTCATTTTTGCCTCCATGGATGAAAGACGCATCTCATTTTTGCTAATTTCTAATTTACTAATGTCTACTTTTGCAGAAGTAGTAATTTTACTTTCATCACCAAAAAAATGCAGTATATAGCAATATCTATTACACAAGCTAGGGACAAAGAAAAAAAAGCTATCTTTTCTCTATTAATAATGTATAGTAAGTCCTCTTTAGCATTGGAGGTTATCCCAATCACACCACAGTGCTCCAGCCCAGACATTCTTAATGTCTCCCCTTCCTCCCAATAAGGGATACATTAAGAATTCTTCAGCACAAAAAGTCAGCCCTCTAGAGCTTATCACCTGATCGAATGCCTTGTCTACCTTTTTAAACCTAAGTGGCAGGTATTTCTTTAAAAAGCCTGAAGTCCAGAGGAGGGTCCTCCAGAGGACCAAAAAAAAACCCCAACAAACCCCACCACAAAAACCCCACCTCCTAGGCATCTGCATCCCTCAGCATTTTATTAGTCATTCCCTGCCCAAGGTCATAGTTAAACAAAAAAAACGAGCAAATTAAAACCCATGAAATTCCATCTGAACATAAAAAGCACCCACTTTTTTACTGTGAGGGCAGTCAAATACTGGCACAGGTGCTCAGAGAGCTTGTGGAGACTCCATCCTTGGAGATAGTCACAATCCAGCTGGACACAGTCCTGGGCAACCTGCTCTGGCTGACCCTGCTTGTGCGGGGGGGTTGGACAGGATGATCTCAAGAGGTCCCTGCCAATCTCAACCATTCTGCCATTCTTTGGTAAGAATGAATATTCAACAAAGTGAGTATTAAAAGATTATGTATTAAAATGCTTTAGTTCTGACTGAACAAAACCAAGGTTGAACAAAACAGTTTGTTTCAAGGATGGAAAAAAAAACCTCAACAACCAAACAAAAACCCTGCACATACACCTGAAAAGGAGCCCTCGGTTTCAGTGACCAGGCATTTTACCTTTTGGTAAGAACTAAGTCATCCTTATTTTCTCATATTCCTGCACATTTGCAAGAAAATTAGTAGGAAAGGTGACTGGAAGTTGGTGCAAGATATATTTCTGTCACTTTAAGTGGTTGTCTTCTCTTAACCGCAGTCCTCCAGAGGCCAAAGAGGGAGAAGGAGTTATCTGTGCCTTTCTGTAAGTTAAAATACTCAGATGCTGGACCAGCAGTAGAGACATGAATGAATTCCTCAGGAACACCCCAAATTTCCCATCCCATACCAGCAAAAGCAGACAGGAGATGCCCCACACCTCTCAACGTCCACCTCTAACCCTCGCCACAACAAAGCGTCTCACCTTCAGAGCCTGCCAGGTAGGAACGTAAGGTAAGAAAGTCCTCCTCATCTTAAGCCAAAGAAATGTCACGACAAGGCCTTTCAGCAATAAGCTTTCCGCCGGAGCCCGTTTTACCTGAAGAAATGCTGAGGCAGTTCAGCCCCACGATGCCAGGGTGTGTGCAGGGGCTGGGCAGGCTGGGGGGCGGCGGGGCGGCCTGCAGGCCCTGGCACTGAGGAGAGAGGAGCGGAGCCTCTGGCCAGGTCCACGGCACTGCCCTGACTGCTGAGGCCTCCCAGCTTCACTATTTTTCACAGAATGGCACACTTTAATCAACCCCGCTGTTCCTGATGGCCCAGGAGAGGAACATCGACCCCAGCTATGAGCGCTGAGCAGCCCTGACAGGTTCAGGCCTGATCTCTAGGCCATCTGATCAAAAAGAGAGACTCCCACATGTAAACGCCAGACAATTATCCAGAGTATTATCCTGAGCCTTCAAACTGAAGTACACGTGCTTCATGTCAGTGTTAATTGACCAAGATCAGCAGTACTTCAGTTACTAGTTTTAACGGAAAGTCCTGAGGCCCACACCCAGTACGGCAGAACCTTCAGGCACAGTACTCAAGCATCAAATGCAGATAAACGTAACAAGTGTTTTCCTCGGGACCGGCAGAAGCCCTCCTACAGCATCACTGACAGCTTTGTCTCTAGATGGGCATTAAAAATCCCAAGCGACCCAATTCACAGGTATTTTCTTCAAACTATTGCACAAGCCAATAGATTTTACATGTAAATCATCCTGTAAAGTTAAAATACAATTCTGAACTGAACCATCAAAGAAAGAAGAAATGAGGGGGATGACACCAACAAAGCAAACCAAATAAAATTCTTGGTTTCATGCTCCATTGTTAAAAAAAACCCAAACAGCATTCCCAATGTTGCAGATATAAAAACCACAACAAATGCCACAGGTAACAAAACCAACAAATAAGTGCTGATAAATATTTTGAGGTCCACTTTGTGTCTGAAGATCCAACAAAAAGCAGCTGCATTGTCTTGAAAATATACCTATAATGTAAATCAAGTACCTAACATACCAAATACTTGGTAAGATTTGATGCCATGTAACTTCTAACTTCTGATGATGAAGAAATTCTGTAAGGCGTTTTTTAAAATAATTTCCTTTATTTCACAAAGGTTTTCTGCAAATCCTTCTAAGGATTTAGCACTGGCACAAAGGCTATTTCTCTCAAGCACTGAATGTTTCAGCACATATTTTTAATGTTTGAGAATTATTTTTACATCATCTTTTATCCATTAACTACCAAAGAAGAATCCAGGTATGACTAACATACAGAAAACGTAAAGTCTATTTTGGAACTCCAGACACTGTCATTGAATGCACAGGGACAAAACAAAACATGCATATATTCAAAATGCACTTGCAAGACGTTGAAACACATTTTGTACAAAAAATGGAACTAGGAAAGAACCATGATCCTTTTTATTCAGTTTTCATTTTTGTTATACAACACATCTTCAAGATACACACATTTTAGCGATGTTTCCTCTTGCAGCCACCTCAACTCTTTAAGACCCTATTCCCATCTCCTTAACAAACATAATATACTAGCCCTTTGTTAAATACCACAGGTACAGTTTTCAGTATACCTTTGCTATATTTTCCCTATTTAACAACAAGACTTATAGAACGTGAGAACTCCATATAAATTGATAATTTTAAAGTCACTGAATTTTAAAGTTCTGAATATCACTTTATTGATCCTTCTCAGCAGTTCTGAATATCACTTTATTGATCCTTCTCATCTTTTCACTTTTCAACTTACCTCAGATCCTGGGGAAATTTTACTTCGGCCTGGCTGATTCTGAAGGTGACCAGCATCTCTCTCGGGCACAAAATCCACTGCACTGTCATCTGATTGTGATTCAACCATTTCCATGGTCATCCGTCTAAAAGTAAGTATAGACATATCTAAATAATGCAGTACAGGGAGCTATATCAGACATGTAGGGTGAAAACAGCAATTCCAGACTATTTTATATTTGGAGCAGACAACTAACAATTAACAGAAAATACATAGATTTCTCTCAAAACTGTCAGATTAGTTGAAATCCCTTCTTCCCATTCCCCCATAATAAAATATTAATTCACAGAGCCAGGAGCTCTAAAACAAGTATTTTGGAAAGCTGCAAGGAGGGGCAGGTCTGGAAATGGTTCTCAGGGGAGGAACAAGCACAGAGTCCCGTGCAGCTTGGATGGCGGGGCTGGGAGCACGGTGCTCCAGAGTGGCCCACCAGCACTGCAGGCAAGGTCCTTTGTGCCTCATGTCTCCCATCGGACAAGGCTCAAGCTGACCATCAGCCATGTGCTGCTACAGACCTCTCAAACCTTCTGAGATACTGACCCCTGGCTGGGATCTATGCTTGAATTGTCTGTAAACTACTCACGGCTCAAGACCCATAATGATTCTTCAAAATTTGCAGGTTTAAAAGTAAGGTAAGTTTTCATAGAATAAGCAACTCCCTGACCCTCAAAAAATTATGAGTTGTAACTCCATAGAGGAATTTTCAAAATATATCCTCTAGATAAAAATGCAATTACCTGACAGTTGCTTTTCCATATTGCTTGGCACATTTAGTCATAACGGAAGGAGTGTGTTTTAAAAGAAGAGCTTGGTTCTCTTCGGCTCCCTTTCTCTCCTACCAAACCCTGCACTGAAGGTGCAACAGGTGATGTCACAAACATTGCCATGGCAACAGATCAGTTTACAAACAGAACAGAGACAGGAGAGGGTCAGGCAGAGGCAGGCAGGATGCCCGGTGGGCATGCTCCCACCTACACCTTCCTTACACAAGGAACTGAGGCCGCAAAAGGAAGATGTGATACAGTTGTGGGATTTAAGAGGCAGCAAATCTGGCTTCCTTGGGTTCAGTTACTGTAACTAGGGGATGGCAACCCCGTCTGAACTCAAAGTTCAACTGTTTCAACTGGCTGATAGTTACTGCAGTTTCTTCTCAGGTCTTACACTGAGAGATGGAAGAGACAGGGAAGGAAATGTGCTAGGTGCCTGACTCCGAGGCTCCTGTATTTAGTCCCACATGTTAAAAGTTAACTACATTAAATCAAATTAAATATAAACCCAACTCCTTTTGCGGCACAATTTTACAGAATATTCCACAATCTTTGAAGAGAACAAATAACTTTTTTTTTTAAATCACCCTTTTTGCTAGAATAACGGCATGAAAAAAAAAGTCCAGTCAAATGATGCAGAGAAGCATATTTCTAGCTTCTGTTCCTCCAGTGGTTTTCTATTGACCAGACTTAACAGTCCTGACATAACAGTCTACGGCTAGTGGTAGCCAAGCTGAACAATTCAAGATTTTACGGGTTAGCATTAGTTTTTTTATGCCAACAGAAGTATGCCGGTACCAATTCAAATTACATTCATAAGGAAATATTTTACACCTAAAATCTTTCTACATTCCTGTCTTATTAGTTACCGCTAATTACATTTTCCCTCTCCGCACAGTCTAATTAAAGACCTGCTGAAATTCACCAAAGCACAACTCTGGGAAGAATGTTTTCACCAAGCTTTCCATCATAATTTTTCATAACTTTTACCTTATTAAAATATTTCAGCTTTATTTATGCTTTCAATATAACACTAATTTAAAAAGTAGGAAAAAAGTTGTTCCTCCTTGGTATACTAGGACCATCCATAGAGTCTCAAACATGAAAGCTCTGTCTGATTGATGTAAGACTGCCTCCATAAGCTTCAGAAGAGCTCACACACCAAGGAAGATTAATTAATGTATAAATCCTGGCAACATATTCATTGCAATCTCTTCCTAAAGATGGGAATATAGTCCAAATCAATTCACTTTATCCAGGCTCTGAAGTATTTTCTTACCCAAAGCCATCTGTTACAGATAACCTGCTGCTGAAAAAAAACCCAAGTACTTTTATTCCCACATTCCCATATGCATTCCATAGAAATTTTACCTGGAAAGAGCCATTCTTCACATTGTAAAAAAATAGGGTTTAGTTTCTAAATTTTAGCTAAATTCCTCACTTATTGCAGAAAACTATTAAAAAATTATTTGTTTACTACTTTGATGACCAGGATTTTTCTCCTAGAGTCTCTTCCTGTTGTGCTCCAGTAACTGAATTACCATATAGCTATGAAAAGAGCATCAGTGCACCAGAAAATCTAAGTTCTTCCTAGTATTTTACAAAATACAATAGAAAGGACTGTATTTTTTAGATTATCTGTGTTAAATTAGAAAAACAACAGCAAGTAGTATATATGCCAGTGAAATGACAAATATAATTTAGACTTACAACATACAAGAAAAATTCAAGCATTTACATAGATATTCCACCTGTAATTATTTATATTCTGACTCAACACAAATTAGTGCCTGTTTTAAATCTTTAGCAAAGTGGAGTAAAATCTGAAAATTTGTATACTGCTTTTAATTTGTTTGGGTTTTTTTATTGCCATAAAATGCAACTGTTACCCTAGAACACAGCAAAATAGTCTTTCAATGTAAGCTAAAATCCACTTTTTTTGAGAACCTGGTAATTCTAGAGACTTGACTAAAGATGCCATCCAAATGTAAAGACCTAACTATAGGCTATAAACCTGAAACAAAAATAACAAAGGGCACAAGTAATTTTAAAAATAGACTAGGTATCTTGGCATAAAACTTCAATGAGAAAGATGATTAAAGACAAAACGTAGCACATTAGTACCATAATGCAGACATGTTACAAGATTATGAATCTTCGGTAGAGATCACCGAATAGAATAACAGAGATATAGGGGATTACTAAACCTGCAGGTGAAGGTCAGTCGCAGTCACTTGAGCACACAGGGCTAGAAGCAGTACAGCCACACAGGGCCACATCACTTCGCGTGGGCTTGTGCGTGGCTCGAGCCCAGGCATGCTAACACACTCCTGAGTGCCACAGCCCACTCCAGGTTATCACCGTCTTCAGCGCACTCTCAAACTCACAGATTCCTATAACCTGAGGCGTAGGGGTTTTGTATTTCCTGTGGTATGTCATACATCGTTTCACCATGCATACATCAAACTGTATCAAATTCTTAATAAATATACATAAAAACACAGAACAAGATCATAACTATGCTTCTTCTAAAATATTAGTAATACGGACTGTGGTAAAAACCAGTTACTAATTCAGTCCAGAAACTACCAACATACACAGTTTTCACATGTATCACTGATTCAGTCTATACTGCAAGCAAATTCTAGCACATTTATTGCTTTTAAGTTACAAAGTAAGAAAAATCTTTTGCCAAGCACTTAAAATCCTTTATAACAGTGTATCAGTACACATCACTACTACACTAGATTTAAAATCTACATTACCTATGTTAAAGGAAAACCAAGCAAACAGTTTGAAAGTATATGGTCTTAGGTCCTGTTTAAAATACGTTTTACTTCATTGTATGATTGATTATATTAAAAAAATAGTTTTATATTTAGTATTAATACATTTATTTCTTACATTTTCCACCTTACTCTCATTGAAGAGTCATTTTAAATATTAGGCTGGATTTCTACATTATTAAGTAACACCTCTCCCCTCCCATAAAAAGGGACAAAAAAAAATTGCTTTCCATACCTGCTTCTTCCTACATAATAGCAAAGAAATCTTCAGGATCTGGCAGGAAATTTAACTGTTAACTAGCTAGTAACATTTCAATATATATTAGCAAGTGTGCACTACTGAGACAAACATACAGCAGCAGGTAAACACTGATTAAGAAGATGCACACTGATTAAGAAGGTACACATCAAAAGCTTCTTCAGCTGATAGCAGCACATCCCTGATGGGACAATACTGACAGAGAACATCTGCTAAAGGAAAATGTTGCCCAGGTGACCTAGAAAATTGGAAGTCATTTACAGCTAAAGGTGTGAACCTTTTATATATTTTGTTAATAGAAAAAAGGTTAAGAATAGCATCCCTATGTGTTCTTGTGTATAAAGACAAAAAATCCTTTTTTAGTCCTGCTGTTTGTTTTACTAGCACATCACTGAATATTAATATAAATATTTAATGTCTAGTGGTGAAATTAAACTGCATAAGCAAATGGGTACAGTATTTTGCATAACTGGAAATGTATGACCGTCTAATTAAATACCCAGAGACATTTTAAAGATAACTTCTTTATTTCAATGATACTTTATACATCAGAGACTGTTTACAAAGGTGCCTTATTACAAAGGAAATTGTAAGGGGCTAAGAAGTATGTTTCAACCCTTGCTCCAAATCTCTTTGAAGGCTTTTATTAACAGGGAAAGCAAGGACAAGAATTTACAAACACCTATTTTGCATGTATTGATGACCCCTCAGTTGAGTGTGGAAACTCTCAGAATGCACTAGTTTGAGAAGAGCATTGTGTTTTTACATATGAAGCCCACAATTTGTTTTACTACGCTGCTTTGAGAAGCCCACCAAGCCTGCAAGGTGGTCATGGGTTCCAACAGGTGAAATGAGCGACAGTGCAACAGACCAGATTCTGAAAGTGCCATCTTTCTGCTAAGTTTTCAGCATTAGCAGAATACTTATTAGTTTCTTGTGTCTCAAACTCTAATGCATTTCTTCGTTTTCCTCCCCAACCTTTTCTTCCTAGAATATCTTCACAAACCCTCAAAAAGGAATTGAAAACCCCAGCCTGCCATTGCTGTAAGCACAAGCACGCTACTCGTCACTCTGCATCTGCCACCTCAATAATCCAGACAAGACGGTGCTGAGCCTGCTGAGAAGAGGACACACGGTCCTCGTTCAGAAGAGTCCAACCAGTCCCTGAACAGGTACGAGGATCATTTATTTAAGTGTCGGCGCCTGCGGAATCTCTTATCTGCCACAGCACACGCTGCTCCGCTCAGCACCAAGTCCGACGCCGACACGGCAGTGGCGGATGCAGACAAAATCCTCAAACTTTAAGGCAGGACTCACTAAGCCCACTGCGGTCCTCTCCCACCTCGGAGAACCCTACGGGCACGGACGTATCCGGCCCCATCGGACTAAGGGGGAAAAGCCACCAGGCACCAGGGCCTACCCGCCCCAGCCAGCGCTCTCCCCTCGGCCGGGGCAGCCCCCCGGAGGCCCGGGCCCCGGACTGCAGCGGATAAACACGCTGCTCCCTTCCCTCGCTCGCTGGGCCGCCGACGGGCGAGTCGAGCCGGCCTCGCTCCGGAGGAAGGGCCCGAGCCGCAGCCCGCCAGGACCCGCCGCGCACCCCGGCTATCGGGCCGTAACGGAGCGGGGCGCTCGGCGCGTCCCGGGGCTGCCCCACGGAGCCGCGCGGCCCTGCCTCA